GGTAAGAGGGGAGGTTCCTCAGCCCAGCCTGCACTCTCTCCAAATGGGGACTGCTGGCTCCTTCCCGCTCACCTGCCTGCCTGCCTGATTGCCCCTAACTGCCCTCCCCTGCTGGCCTGATCTTGCCCCCAATTGCACTCCCCTACCAGTCTGATCTCACCCCCAGTGGCCCTCCCCTGCTGGCCTGGTTGCCCCCAACTACCCTTCCTGCCAGCCTGATCGCATCTAACAATTTTTTGCATCTAACAGTTCTGATTTCTAACAATTTTTTCCTGCATCCTGTGGTGATTTTTTAAAGTCCCGATTTTTCCAATGTTTCCAATCTTTCAAAAAATTGGGACTTTTTTTTTTAATCTTGAGAGCTTGTTTGGAGGTTCTAGCAGGGGAGCGCAGCTACTCGTATACCCTTGACCGAAGACCAGTCCTCTCTTCTTGGGGGAAAGTCGTCCTCTTCGACCGAGCACGCAGCTTCAGGAGGGACGCACATGGATTGGTGAGGAAGGAGAGGGACACCTGCCTAGCCAGCCAGATCAGCCGAATCAACCCTGGCGATCAATGGGGTGACAGATGTCGCAGCCAGATCACCCTCACATCTTTTTTTTTTTTCTTTTTTCTTTTTAATATATTTTTTACAGAGAGGAAGGGAGAGGGATAGAGAACTAGAAACGTTGATGAGAGAGAAACATCGACCAGCCGCCTCTTGCACACCCCCTACTGGGGATGTGCCCGCAACCAAGGTACATGCCTTTTACCGGAATCGAACCTGGGATCCTTCAGTCCACAGACTGATGCTCTACCATTGAGCCAAACCGGTTTCGGCAAAAAATTGGGACTTTTTTAAAATACCACGGGACGTGGGGAAAATTGTTAGAAATCAGGACTGTCCAGCCAACACCCTGACGATCTGGTCACCTTAACCTAATGGCCACTGCCTGCCTAATCACCCCCAACTGTCCTCCCCTGCAGGCCTGATCTCACCCCCAACTGGTCTCTGCTGGCCAATTTGGTTCTGATTGGTCAGTTTCTATGCCAGTCAGCATCAAAAGCCCCACCTCCTAGGCAGCCATTGGCTTCTCACAGGTGACACAGATTTGGTTCCAATTGGTCAGTTCTATGCCAGTCAGAGTCTCTGGGTCTATCAACAGGGCCTGATCAGAAAGGTAGGACTTTTCAGCAGTCCCAGTGGAAGCCTGGAGAGAAATGGAGGTGTGGCTGCTGGCCCAGCCAGGAGAGAAAGAGAGAGGCAAGTGCTGATCATTCACAGCTGTCACACAAGCTACGAATCAGACACTGCTTCTCTCTTCAGGTCTCTCTCAGGGCCTGATTTGAGCCCCCTCAGCAGTCAGTGCTGGATCGCCATTGCAACCCAGCGCTGACTGCAGGACTGATTTTCAGTTGGTAGAACCTCCAGTCATGATGGACAAGCAGGTATGGGGTGGGACAGAGCAGAGCTGCCTGGCCCCAGGGACCCCTGGCCTGTGTTATAACACTGCAGAGTATGGCAAAAATAGGTTTACAAGTGTGAATATACAGATCCAAATGTTTTTCTTTTTTCTTATTAAACTTGGTTTTAAAGGTCACAAAATCCTGTGACAGATTTTGGTCAAGTCATTTCCATTAAAAAGTACTGATTTAAAAAACTAACACCTTAAAAACTGCCCCTCCCCTCCCCATACACACACCCAAAAAAAACCCCACAAATGGTCCACAAAACATTTTATTTTCCTTCTGAAGGTTTTGTGATGCATTATAATCAATAACCAACCTTTTACTATTAAATTAAATGCCAATTGAAACAAACATTTCTGAGGCCATTCTTTCACCACTGATTAAGAATTGGGGTGGCAGATATCAGGGATAATATTCATTTAACCTTCTGAACTTTCTGGGCAGACTTGGTGACTTTGCTAGCTCCAGCTGCCTTCCACAGCAGCTATCTGTTTCATGTCACGAACCGCAAAATGATCCAGAGTAGGGTAGTCACAGCCATATAGACATGGGTTTGCCAGGAGCCATATAGATGATGGCAGCATCACCCGATTTCAGCACTTGGGGCCATCTTCCAGCTTTTTCCCAGACTGGTGATCAATCTCCTCTTTCAGCTCAGCAAATTTGCAAGCTGTAGGAGCTGTGTGGCAATCCAGCACAGGTGCATATTCAGCACTGATTTGACCTGGATGGTTTAGGATAATCACCTGAGCTATGAAGCCAGCTGCTTCCATTGGTAGGTCATTTTTGCTCTCACCAGCCACATTGCCATGACAAACATCATTGACAGACATGTTCTTGACACTGTCCCCAGGAAGAGCTTCTTACAAAGCTTCATGGTGCATTTCAATAGGCTTTACTTCAATTGTAACGTTGACTAGAGACAAGGTGACCACCATACTGGTTTGAGAACACCCATCTCCACCTGGCCCAGAGGGAGAGTAAGCATATCACCAGTTTTTTGTTTTTTGTTTTCATATCACCAGTTTTGTAGACATCCTGGAGGGGCAGTTCAGGGGCTTGTCATTTGGACAAGTTGGTGGCAGGATGTAATCCAGTTCTTCAAGCAGTGTGGTTCCACTGGCACTGCCATCTTTACAGTGACTTTCCATCCCTTGAACCAAAGCATATTAGCACTTGGCTCCAGAAATTGACACAAATGGTACTGTGTCTAGATTTTAGCCAACTTTCTTAATGTAGGTTTTGACATCTTTAACAATTTCCTCGTAGGTTTTCTGGCTGTAGGGTGGCTCAACAGAATCCATTTTGTTGACACTGTCAGTGTATAAGCCAGAAGGGCATGCTCCTGGGTCTGCCCATTCTTGGAGATGCCTGCTTCAATTTCACTAACACCAGCAGCAACAATCAGGACAGCACAGTCTGCCTGGTATGTGCCTTAATCATGTTTTTTATGAAGTCTCTGTGTCCCGGGACATCAATGATGGTCACATAATACTGGCTGGTCTCAAATTTTCCTGGGGAGATGTCAATGGTGATATTCAACTCACATTCAACTTCCAGTTTATATAAGACCCAGGCATACTTGAAGGAGTCCTTCCCCATCTCTGCAGCCTCCTTCTCAATTTTTTCAATGATTCTTTTGTCAATCCTACTCTTATTTGTAGCTCAGATGGCCAGTAGTGGTAGACTTTCTAGAATCTATACCTGTCTAATGATGAAGATGTTTATATGAGTCTTTTCCTTTCCTGTTTTAGGTTTAATTTAGTGGGAGTTTTCACAACATCTGTGTTCTGGCAGCAAACCCTTTGCAAAAAAGCCACAGTTTATTCTCATATTTTGTTTATAATTTATTGCATTATTCCCTATACAAACAACTGTAAACATACTTTTGCCTCAGTCTGTATTGAACTGTTCAATAGCTGTGTTGTTTTCACAGCAATACTGTATTACTATTGAGCTGTGGCACTTTCTTCTTCACTGCATCCCAAATTGGGAGGTTCCATTGATATTGCATTGGCACCAATGACCATCAGTTGACACCTTTGTTTGGGTAGATGCCCCACAGATCCCCTGGTGTGACATTTCCCTCATTGTAGTGGATCAAACCTCAATCTGTTGAACAATGGTTTTATTTTTAGCGCTAGTAGGATGATTGAGCAAGGGCAATGAGCATTGAAGGTTTTCATAGTCTGATCCTACACACAAAATCAGAACCAGAGGAAGGGTTTCTAATTATCTTTTGTTGTTCTTTCATAGCACTTCAGAGCCACTTTCATGGGAGAGCCATTATGGCACCCTTCTAAAAATAGAAGACAAAATCAACTGTGGGGTGGTTTTCCTTAGATATGTAAACCACAAATTTATCCCGGCCCTTGAAACTATCTTTACACTCCAGGGTCGTCATTCCTCCAGTGTTGAAACTGGTAAGTTCCATTTTTCATTACTGAAGAGGAAGAACCTCTGATTGAGAGCCTTCTCCCGCCTCACCCTATCTAATTCTTCCACATTTCTCCTCAGAAGAAATTTCTTTTCTTTCTTCTTCCCTTCCTTCCTTCCTTCCTTCCTTCCTTCCTTCCTTCCTTCCTTCCTTCCTTCCTTCCTTCCTTCCTTCCTTCCTTCCTTCCTTCCTCCTCCTCCTCCTCCTCCTCTTCCTCCTCCTCCTCCTCCTCCTCCTCCTCCTCCTTCTTCTTTTTTCTTTCTTCTTTTTTTTTTTTTTCTCTTTTTTTTTCCCCCTGTATTCCAAAACCACTCTCTCAGGAAAGACCAACTGTTAAACTAGAGAGCATGTCCCGCCTTTCATTCAAATCTTTCCTTTTAGGGCAAAGGCTGGCTTGGAATCAATTTTATCTCCAAAACAGAGAAAGCAAACATTCCTTATTGGAATACAGCATTTTACTTAAACAAATGAAAAAGAAATCTACATGGTTTTGACAAATCTTTTGTTCCCTAAGGAAAGCTAAGTGCGCCTGTCTGCCTTGGTGGGGGGGGGGGGGGGGGGTAGACGTCTGGGGTGAGCCTCCCGCAACACTTGAATCCGCGGCCGCCGGCGCGGGCTGCGATTGGCCGCCGGGCCGGGCCTCCGCGCCTGCGCAGTGCTCCTCGCGCGCCGCCCTCCGCCGCCGCGTCGCGGGTCTGAGGCTGTGGAAGGGCCGGGGTCAGCCGCCAGGCAGACAGCCGAGCGGGAAGGCGCTGGGCCAGCCTGCTCTCTCCAAGGAACGAGGGGGCCGCCTTCCTGGTCTCCCGGAACTTGCAGTCTGTTCAGGCCGGCGGAGGGGAAGCCGAGGAGCTAGCTGCGCCGTGGACGCTCCACCCGGCGCCGCCACCGCCTTAGCTGCCATGATGGATCGGAAGTGAGCCTCTGGGCGAGGCTGCCGGCGCCGGCGCTTCCAGGCGCTTCCAGGCTCCGTCCCCCTCCGCCCTCCGGGGGAAGTGCGACCCCGGGGACTCGTCCTCTCGACCTTCGCGACCCGAGACTCTCAGCCCGGGCCTGCTTCCTCCCGGACTGAGCGGCGGGGAGTGGCTCCCGGCCTCCGGCCCCGGCAGCGAGGAAGATGGCGGACCCGGCGGAGTGCAACATCAAAGTGATGTGTCGCTTCAGACCTCTCAACGAGTCCGAAGTGAACCGCGGCGATAAGTACATCGCCAAGTTTCAGGGAGAAGACACGGTCATGATCGCGGTGAGTTGCCGCCTTCCCGCCGCTTCGGGCCTGGCCGGGCCTGGCAGTCCCGGGGAGTGTGGGGTGCAGGGGTGGAGGGGGCGGTCGTGTCGCCGGCTGTCCCCGGTGGGGTTTTCCGGGTCAGATAACCCAGCCCCGGGCACGGCGAGCTCCGCAGGTGTCCCTGGGCCTCCCCTCCCGGCTCGGCGCTCCCGAGCGGGGCGCTGGGAGGCGCTTGGCCTCGGTCTGGGACACTCCCTCACCTGGGGCGCGGGGGAGCTGTTTGGGAGCAAGTTTAGTGTGTGTGCGCCTGCATTTGTGTGTGGTGTTTACTGTTGCTGCTGGCTGCTGGGGTTTCGGACTACCCCCAATTTACCATATATAAATATCTAAGACTAAAATTCAGCTAGTAACGTGGAGACCAACCCTACATATGTTAAGTACTAAAGACACTTAGTTTTATAGAAACTATGTGTTGAACCCTATTGTCTTCCCCGCGGAAGGAGGAAAAATTATAAATAACACCTTTGCCTCAAAATGTTTACCTACCCACATTTTATTAACAATTGGAAAAGATTAATAGGAATTATATAAAAAGAAATAGTGAATTTGCTTTTTAAATCGGAGTGATCAATTTTGTTGCAAATGTGGCCACTTCAGATTGGGTCAAACAAGTGCTCAGAAAGACCCATAATCTCCTTCTTGCTGGGTTTTATTTGGTAACAGTCTAGGTAAGAGTGTTAACTTTTTGTGTGTATATCAGAGTAATGTAAAAGAAAGGTTTTGTTTTTTTTTTAATGTATTTTTATTTATTTCAGGGAGGGAGATAGAAACATTAGTGATAAGAAAGAATCATTAAATTTTTTAGCCGCCTCCTGCGTGATGCCTGGAGCCCACAAGGGAGACGAGAATGTAAAGTTACTTCTTTTCCTTTCTTTTCTTTTTTTGAGATCATCTCTAGTATTGACAAGTCTCAAATAGCACTCCCAGTGCAAGGAGGTTAAAATGGATACTAAGATACTATATACAGAGCAGTTAAATTCAAAACTAAATCTTTCTTAGTTAGGCCATGTAGCAGGGCTTTTTTCTACATTTTTAACCAGGTACATTTTAATGTTAATTTTTCCTAATTGCATTTCATATTTAACATATTATTTACACAGTTTAATTTGGAAATAGGACAAAGTAGTCATGGGACAGTGATAATTAAAAGCATTGGCATATTATACAGTACTAAAGTTTAAAGTTCTTTATAGTTTTTATGTGAACGTTTAAGTCTAATGAGTGAATGTTGATCCATGTTGCTTGTTAGGCATTTGACAAACAAGTCATTAGATTACTAACAACTGCCAGTACTATGTGTAGACTGCAAGCTGGTTCTTAACAAAATCCGGAAGAAAAACTCTTGCTATAAATGACATCATAGTAAGGCCAAGAAGTTAAGCACAGTAGTAGTCATCCTTTTCCTTTAGAATAATATATTTAACATGGAATCAGAAGGCTTACAGGCCTGGCTACTAGTTTCTTAAGCTTGTGTGAGTACTCAACTTCAGCAGTGCTTGACATAAAGTTATTTTCCTTTTCGACTTGTATTAGGAATGATTTTTAGTATGTGCTTACACAAATCTGTAAGTATAACCAAGTTGTTGGTTTTTTTATATTAGAATTTAGGATTTACAAATGTTTTAAGATTAGGATAGAAGGCAGCTCAAAAATGACAAAAGCTGAGGAAATAGTTAAAACAAGTGATTACCACAAGAAGCACACATTTATGCTAGGTTGTTTCCTTTGGATAAAGTTATTTAAGTGTCTTATATGTTTACTTAGTAATGTAAATAAATATAAATAGTAATATAAATAATGGATAGATGATAGAACTGTGAAACAATGAATAGTTAAGTTGACCTTTAGACAAGCATTTTAGTCTAGTTTTAAAAATTTGTATAAGCAGAAATACATTACGACTGACTGACAAAGCCTTTAGAAATATAAAACAATGTGTTTAGTTCATTATTTTCAGGAACTAATACTTTGCACATGGTAATATGTCATTAATTATTCAGGTCTCATTTTTGTTCACTTTAAAATGAATTATTTTTTAAACGTCGTTTGGGAATTTATGAGGGCTACTGGGTAAAGTAAAATAGAAAGTCTCTAAAAATCCTCTTGGTTCATATTTGGATCTTGATTCTGATTCAAAATACATAGTTTAAGAAAGAATTGCTGCAATGCAGAATTTAAAACTAAATTATTCTATACATTTTAAAAGTTTTTAAAACATTTATTTCTATTGATTTGAGAGGGGAAGAGAAAGAGGGAGAGGGAGAGAGGAAACATCAATGATGAGAGAGAATCATTGATAGGCTGCTTCCACCCAGGTATGTGCTCTGACCCAGAATCGAACCATGACCTCCCGATCAACTACTGAGCCCCACTGGCCAGGCCATTTATAAAGTTTTTATAGACTTCTAGTTGAATCAAAATTTAAAGAATAAATATTTTGGTTTATAATGTTACTGAATTATAAGTATGATCAATGCTCATGTAAAAAATCATTTTTAAGGATTCTGATTTTTATCTGTTTGGTTTCCAATATTTTGTCCAAGTTTTTTTCTGTTACTCAAGTAATTAGTTATTTCTATTTATTTTTATTTTTTAAAATATATTTTATTTATTTTGTACAGAGAGGAAGGGAGAGGAATAGAGAGTTAGAAAAATGGATGAGAGAGAAACATCCATCAGCTGCCTTCTGCACGCCCCCTACTGGGGATGTGCCCTCAACTAACGTAAATGCCCTTGACCGGGAATCAGTCCGCAGGCCGACCTCTATCCACTGAGCCAAACCAGTTTCGGCAGTAGTTATTTTTAATACTAGAGTCCCTCAGCCTGGCCTGTAAGGATTGGGCCGAAACTAGCTTTCTGACATCCCCCGAGGGGTCCCAAATTGCAAGAGGACAGTTCTTGGGTGACTACACCCCAGAATCAAGCTCCTTCCTCTGGTTCTGGATGTTTCATCCAAGAACGGCAACTGCCAAGTCACTGCAGCTCTGCAGCTCCTGTGTTGAGCGTCTGCCCCCTAGTGGTCAGTGCACATCATAGCCACCAGTAAGACAGTGGCTTAGGCTTTTATATATGTAGACTATAGGCCCGGTGCATGAAATTCGTGCACAGGGCTGGGGCGTTGTCCCTCAGCCCAGCCTGCACACTGTCCAATCTGGGATCCCTTTCACAAACCAGGACTGCTGGCTCCCTACTGATCATCTGTCTGCCTTCTGATTGCCCCTAACAGCTTCTGCCTGCCAACCTGATCACCCTTAACCACTCCCATGCCAGCCTGATTGATATCTAACTGCTCCCCTTCCAGCCTGTTTGCCCCCAACTTTCCTCCTCTGCTGGTCTGGTCACCCCTAACTGCCCTCCCCTGCAGGCCTGGTCCCTCTCAACTGCCCTCCCCTGCTGGCCATCTTGTGGTGGCCATCTTGTGTCCACATGGGGGCAGGATCTTTGATCACATGGGGGCAGCTATTATGTGTTGGAGTGATGATTAATCTGCATATTACTCTTTTATTAGATAGGATAGAGGCCCTGGCATCTGGAATTTATTTACCTTCTACATTGAAACTTTGTAACCTGAAGTGGAGCCAAGCCTCCTGCTTGCTCCGTGGCTGCCGCCATTTTAATTTGGATTTGTTTACCTTCTATAATTGAAACTTTGTTGCTTTGAATGGAGACTTAGGCACAAGGATAGGCAGAAAGCTTGGCTTCTTTCATTGCTCCCTCTTACTCTCTGTGACTGTAGCCATCTTGGTTGGGTTTATTTTCATACTCGCTCTGATTGGCTGATGGGTGTGACTGGTGGGTATAGCAGAGTGATGGTTAATTTGCATATTACTCTATTATGTAGGATTATGTGACTGCATGGCAGGCAAATCTTGTAATATTGTGTTTCCCCATTTTGCCACTTTTCATACAGTTTTGTTTTTAGTTTGGGAAGTGCTATAATTATCACATATTGAATGAAGTAAGTGAATTCTTTTATGAAAACCTTTAAATTATACAAGCAGAATATATTTACTTTAAATAAAAAAATTTGATACCTCAAAAGTAGGATAGGGAAACTCCTTATGCAATTCTCATGAACCTGCTGAAAGATGAAAAAATCAATTGAAAAAATTATTGCTATATTTATGAGTTATAAAAGTGGAACATTCACACGTGTTACGTGTCTTTACTAATCATTGTTCTTTATATAGTACTAGAACAATGGTGCATGAAATTCCTGCACTCGGGGAGGAGGGGTCTCTGCCCAACCTGCACCCTCTCATAGTCTGGGGACCCTCAGGCAATGTCTGACTGATGGCTTAGGCCCACTCCCTGGGCAATTAGTCAACAATTAGACATTCTTAGCACTGCCGTGGAGGCAGGAGAGGCTCCCGCCACCACCGCTGTGCTGGCCAGCCATGAGCCTAGCTTCTGGCTGAGCAGCACTGCCCTGTGTTGAGCATTTGCCCCCTGGTGATTAGTGCGCATCATAGCAACTGGCCATTTTCGCCATTTGGTAGGTTTGCATATTAACCTTTTATTATATAGGACTGGAGGCCCAGTGCATAAAATTTGTGCACTTGAGTGGGGGGTTCCCTCAGCCTAGCCTGTGCCCTCTCACAGTCCAGGAGCCCTGGAGGGATGGAGCCCTGGAGGAATGTCCGACTGACTGCTTAGTGGGCCTAAGCTGTCCATTGGACATCCTTAGCATTGCCACGGAGGCAGGAGAGACTCCTACCACTGCCGTTGTGCTCACCAGCCATGAGCCTGGTTTCTGGCTGAGCGGTGCTCTCCCTGGGGAGCACACTCACCAACAGGGTGCCGATCTTGCATTGAGTGTTTGCCTCCTGATGGTCAGCATGCATCATAGTGACTGGTCATTCTAGCATTTGGTCATTTGCATATTAGCCTTTTATTATGTGGGAGATGCCCCCTAGAGCCATAAGAAATGCAGCTCTGTAAACTCATTCTCCAATTGC